CTATATGTTGTTTTCAACAAACAAAACTTTGTTTTTGTCTACTCACACTTTTCTGTTTTGCGCCCCTCAGGCAGTAGCTAGATTCGAATTGAGCAGCCAAGCCGAGACCTTCCTTCTGAATCCCGAGCTTCCGTAGGACACTTTTTATTCGTTTTCATTTTTGTTAAAATTTATTGCTCAGTTGTAAAACTGAAATTCTTTTGACTGCTTTGATATTGCCCATGTTTAGGATGGATTATAAGGCCGGAGGCCTAATATGTAAACTGCTTGAATTTATCTTGTGTATGCTGCCTGTTGGGATGTTTAAATGTGTTTTAACAGGTCGACAAAATTTGGGAAATGTCCATTTTTCAAGGCAGACTGCCGAAATTTCGGTAGAAAGTCTCGTATCTTTAGTATGTGGGCCCGGCATCAGTATGATGTCAGAACTTTTACGGGATTCGTCCCAGATTCCGAGGAGTTCGGGGCGGGTCCTGTCATTATTTTATTTTCAGTACATTGGGAGGTTCACAGACAAGCACATATCCATAATATTGGTCGTTACAACTAGCGAATGACTGATAATGAATTTTAACAAACAAAAACAATCAATTAAAACACAACATTCATGTCATACCTGCATAGCAATGCTCTCTTGTGTTCCAACTACACCATCACCTTTAGAAGTGGATGAACCAACAATATGGCCAATATCATCAAATTTTGTTGGTTGCAAATCCTATATAAAAATTCAAGGACAGTCACAATAAAATACTTTATTGATTGAAGAATACATTAGAAAATAAATAAAAAATGTATCCATTTTACTTGCATACATTCAATTCTTTCTCTCCATTAGTGTCGTTTCCACAAGATTTGATCTTCTTGTTACTCTCTTGTTTCTTCTTTTTACTATATTGTTTCTTCCTGACTGCTTGCTCCAACTGAGATTTCCTCTTTTTAAATGGTGGACGGCCTTTCTTTCTAGCTGCTAAGGAAGTAAGAATATGTTGACTTGGATTCGGAATTGAACTAACATTATTCTCAATGTTCCTACCAATAAGTGATTGAGGAGTTGGTTGATCACTACCACAAACAACATTATGTTTGGAGAGTTCCTCCTTTACATTATCCATCCAAGTCATCACAGTCATGCACTTATTTTCATAATCATTTGCCAATTCCTTAATCTCATCAAAAGCCTTTTGCATCTTATGACATCGTTGTACTTCAGGTGTGAGACTACAGCCTTCATAATTGATTTCAATCCTTGTGTGAAATCTTTTCACATCCTTCCTCCATCTTCGCATTATATATTTTTCTAGAATCAAGTCAATGTTATGATGACGAAAAACATATATTGTATGACGGCATAATATGCCTCTACATTCAAACATGCGACAATTACACCGAACTTCATTGTATTTTCATTAAGCCAAACCTTGAAATAAAGCCTTTTTTTTTCCCCTCCATCATGAAATCCTCAGATATTTGGTACTCAAAATTTGCACCATTCACTTTATGTGAAACATAGTCACAATACATTTTGTCTATTAATTCCAATGGATGAAGACTTAAAATCTTCTTGCTTCTCCTTTTGCACCTTAACTTTCAATGCATTTTCATATTGCTCCACAAATTGTTTTAAAGTAGTCTTAGAATTTACACAGTCATCAAAAAAATGCATTCATACTTTCACTTCGTTGTGTGGTAGACATTCCTGCCCAAAAACTATCTTTCACAAAGCATGGCACCCAACGTTGTCTCTCATTATATAGTCCAGCCAACCATTCATTGTCTTGTAACTGATATTTCTCAATTATTTTATCCCAACCTTCTTCAAACTCAACCTTCTCCAATGAGCCACACACAATACTTTGCAAGGCATACATAATAGATTCATATTGCTTGTAACGGTTCAACTTACTAGGAAACTTGTTCATTATGTGCCACAAGCACCAACGATGTCTAGTATTAGGAAAAATAATCTCAATGGCATTTTTCATGGCTTTATCTTGATCAGTAATTATTCCCCTGGGAGCTTGCCCATGCATACATGCAAGCCAAGACTTAAACAACCAAATAAAAGCATCAGTATCTTCACATGAAATCAGCCCACATCCAAGTAAAATTGATTGCCCATGATGATTTACCCCCACAAATGGCATGTCATACTTATTCGTCAAGTAGGTTGTATCAAATGTAACAACATCTCCAAATTCCTCATATGCCGCCCTACTTCTTGCATTTGCCCAAAATACATTTCTTAACCTACCATCTTGATCTAAATCAATTGTATAGAAGAAATTTGAATTTTGAGCTTGCATGTTCAGAAAATAAGTTTGGATTGCAGTAGCATCGCCTTCCCCGAGCCGTAATCGTCTCATATTTTCAGTTTAATTTTTACAATCCTTTTTCCAAAAGGAGATATTCTCATGGCCCCTAGCTTCAACCACTAATGAATTATAGCTCTTGTTTAACCTTATTCCAGCTATATCATTTAACTCAATCCTCCTTTTCATATATGAACTTATTGTCCGATGACATCGAAAATAACGAGCCTTTGTTGGACTCATATCATGGTTATGATCAAGCTTGACAGAGTTGATCTACCACCTTCTATCTAAGAGTATACTACCCTCTTACTCTAGCTTTGCAACCAATTTTAATACTTGGATGTGGCTTTAGGACATTACTTGATTTACTTTTATATATGCCTTCTCGACCACATGAAATAGTCACATATTTCAATTATCCCTCATCTCCCTTTTGTGATGTTCTCTTCCTCACGTGAAACCCTAATTGTTTCCCATATTCTCTATAATAGACAACTATCTCATCAATGTTGTTAAAAGTCATCCCAACTCGAGAATCTTGCATATTCTCTCTATTCTCCAATTCGGGCTCCTGACTTGCTGCTTCGTCATCATTCTTTTCCATTTGAACCCCATCATCTTCTTGATTAATATATGAACTCATAAAGTTACTCGAAGACATGATTACAAAACAAAATAGAATCTGCATAGTAGTGTAAGGCATGGAAAAAGAGGTTTCAAAATAGCAACCAACATAAATTACAAAGACTCATATCCATACAAGCAAGGAAAAAGAGGTTTCAACACAGCAACCAATGTAATATTATAGCCATAGTATTTTTTTTGAACTAGCAAAACATATTGTTCATTTTGCATGAGTGCCATATGCATAGGAGAAAACAATTACAATACACAACACACATAAAGGGAATAAGAATCGGAGAAAACAAAACTCCCAGAAACATAAGATTACTCAAAACAAGAAAGAAAAAAATTAAAGACTTCAAGTATAGTGGGAGGCATGGCAAGCCATCCATAGAAAGAACAAAAAACAGCTAGTTATGAGCAGTGGCGGATCCAGGATTATGTGGCCAAGGGGGCTTAGTGTAAAAGTTCCAAAAATTTTCTAAACAGAGGAAGCATGAATGGCGGAGGCTAGAAAAAGAGGAAGCATGAATGAAAGGGAATAACATAACGGTGAGCACTGAAAATGGAAGGGAATAACATAAATAAATTGAACTATAAAAACCCAGCTGTTGTTTTGCCCAGAAATTTGAAGCTTTTTCGTCACCAAAAGTTTTTAGCGACAGATGTTCATCAGATTTTTTGTCACTAAAAATCAAATTTCCAGATCAACTTCAGACTTATATACAAAGGTAAGTTCCAGGTTTCTATCTTTAGTTTAGTCGTTTCCTAATTTTATTTGCAGGCTGTTTCACAAATTAGACCAGAATAATAACACATACATATGGGAATGAAGATGTGAAATTGGGAATGAAGAGTTTGGAGCTGCTGTGCAGAATCGGGCGTAAGTGATGCTGGTTTTTTTTATTTTTTTTATTTTAAACTTGGCCCAAAACGACGTCGTTTTGAGGCCAGGTCAATTAAAAAAAAAAATTTGACTGAGCCTTGGACCAAACGACGTCATTTGGCAAGGCAGGTTTTGAAAAAAAATTAGCACGCAGCGTGCGCAATGCGTAGCAGCAGAGGAAGAGTTCGGCTGGGAATTTCGTCGAGCAGTTGGTGTGCAGGGGCTTCCAGCAGCAGTCCAAGGGGGCTTTCATGGAGTCCCTTCCCAATTTTTCAACATTCCAAGGGGGCTTCAGCCCCCTCTTGTCCCAACGTCGATCCGCCTCAGGTTATGAGACACAAAACAAATATTAGACATGATATACAATTAGTATAGAAGTAATACAAATATCTCAATGATTCAAAGAATCAATCCAAAAATTCCAATCATCACCCACCAAAAGAAAACCTAAGAGTAAACCAAAGATGAACTTACCGTCGTCACTGGCGTCAGGAAAAATTCTGGTATGATTTATTGTCGTTGGCAGATTAGGGAGAAGATAAGGGATGAGGTAGGGAAGAATCAGTTGAATATACGTGAAACAAAACTTTCCACATTGCTTAGGTTTCTGTAAAGTGAAGGGTAAAAAAATAAAAAATAAAAAAATTAAAAGCTCATTTAATGATGTGGCATAGCCAACTCAATAGCCACATCAGTTGGTACACAAATATGGTACAAATAGATGGTCTCCCTAGCATTACCCTTTTGGGTATGCGATAATGCTACTGTTAAGAAATTTGTAGTTGAACTGATATACCAAATTAAAATTTTTTTTGTCTACCAAACTTTATTGCTGAAAATCGAAACAGACTTATCAAACTCCAAGTTGAAGTTTGATTTTACAATCCTAGTGAATGATTTTAACTTCCTTGATATGGAAAGAATGTAAACTACATAAATTAGCTCTAAAGGAAAAACAAAACCAACTAAAATACTAGCTACTTAATGTATTCGATCTATGATCATTTTTCTCCTTGCTTGGTGGCATCTGGTGTATCAGTTCCTTTACCCTTGTTCTATTCCAGCCATTTCTTATATCTTCTGCATTCTCTCTTCATGTGCCCAAATTTCTTGCAAAAGAAACACTTCAATCCAACAGGTTTTCCTTCCTTTTTTTCCTCATGTTTGCTTGTTTTTTATGCTGTTGTATAGGTTTTCCCATATGATTTTGGCTTTTCTTTTATATCATGTATTGCATTGACATGGTTTTGTTCCTTCTCTTTCTTGTTATCTTCTTGTTCTTGCACACAAATACCTATCAGATCATTCATAGTCCACATCTCCTTTTGAGCAATGTAAGTGCTTTTGAGAAGTTTGAAACTACTCGACATAGAGTATATTGCAAAATACACCATCATAGCTTCATCTACATTCACATCCAGGGATCTTAGCTTGTTTCCAATGTCGAGCATTTTCGCTATGTGAACCCTAACACAACCTTCCCCATCATATTTCAAATTTGTCAATTGGCCCATCAAGTTTCCTATATCAGTTTTCTTGGATTCTTGAAACTTTTCTCCAATTCCCTCAAGGAAAGCCTTCACACTTTCAGATAAAGGAATGATACCTCTCACAGAGGGTGAGATCGATCTTCTCATAATGAGAATGGCCATTCTGTTTGCCTTGTTCCAATTGGCATATTTGGCCTTGACTTCAATTGAGGCATTAGCAGCTGGTTGCTGTGGTGGATCTTCTTTTAGTACCATCTCAAAGTCTAGCAGTTCCAGAGCAATTTCCAAATCCTCTATTCATTTGTTGTAGTTGGAGCTAGTGAGTGTTTCGATTGAATTATGGTTAACTATAAATATGTAAAATACAAAATATGATGTATATCCCCATTTTCTGTACATTATCAATTCACACTTGTAGGCTGAGAATTGAACATGTTTTAGTGATCACCAAAACACATGACACATGAATTTCTTTTATGATTTGATTTCTTACATCTGTAGACAAAAAGAAATCTCCATTAATTCATATACCTCATGTTTGCATCACACCACAGTAGATTTCCGTAAACAAGACTACCAACATCTGTGGACATAATGTTTTCTCATCTACATCGATCTTCTGTGCAATCTTGATCAGTTTCCTTGAATGCAAGATTCCTTAATTAACTATGCTGATGTGGCTCGCTCTAGTTAATACAGAATTTCTTGAAACTTTGATCTTTAGCCTTCAAGCATGGATAACTCAGACCATATATCTGAAACATGCTTAACAAATCTATATAAATATAAAGTGAAAAAGTAAAATCATGCTTCATACAATTCTCAGTTTTCAAAACAAATTTGCAGCATGGTATGCAGCGGATTATTTTCTTTTGTTTCAATAGTTTTGCATTATTGTTAAAACATGCTTAGATAAACTTCTTTTTAGGTTTTAAAACATGCAACCTAAGCTCTGATACCACATGTTAATCAATATAAGCTGCATATCTTAAAACACTAACCTTGATCGTGAGCCATTGAGTGCTGCCGTGATAGTTAAACAGAGAGTAACCAAGTTCTTCTTCTCAAAACCGACTCCTTATGCCTGAATTCTAGATGGGGTTTGAATATTTCTAATTGTTAATTATATTTCATCTTGAAGAGATATTATTATAAATATCTTATATAGTTATGAAGGAGGATGAGGTAATGGTTCTTTTTCACGATACTAACATTATTTCATTTTCAGTACATTGGGAGGTTCACAGACAAGCACATGAGATGAGATAAAAAAGTTCAAAATTGTCTCTCTCTCATTTATGCTCTATGATCCATGACAACAAATTGATGATTAAATGCATAAACACTCACAAAACCATACTAAAAGATTGAAAATAAAATTGAAGACAAACCACTCCCAAAACAATATTAGATTAGACCTTCTTAGATACTCAAGCTCCTCCTCGAATTAAAAGCATCATATGAGTACTCCCTCATACCATTGGGTTCATACAAGACTATATTGGACAAAACTCGTGTGAAATATATAACTCATTCGCTATCTGATCTGATATCCCCCGATGAGTTTAATTTCTTTTCTTGATCCACTGGACTTCCACTACCCTACGACATAATCTAAATTCAAAGGGTTGACATTAGTCTACACTTTGCATTTGTGTTATTAATGTATCATATGACTATAAGACCTACATAGGCTACAATGGTGAAGAACACAAATGTGTCCCCGCATTGCATATACTTACATAAAGTTTTGGAACACGAACCTATTTGCGATGAAATTCAGCGGATGTTAATGATATCAATGTTTTAGTCTATTGTGAAGTAAGTCTCTTTAATTTTTTGAATTTAATGTTTCATTATGTCTTTATTTTTTTTCTTCTAATTGTTAATTATATTTCATCTTAAAGGGATATTATTATATATATATATATATCTCATATATGTATGAAAGAGGATGAGGTAACGGTTCTCTTTCGCGATACTAACATTGTGTCATTTTCAGTACATTAGGAGGTTCAAGGACAAGCACATGAGATGAGATAAAAAAGTTCAAAATTGTCTCTCTCTCTTTCATTTATGCTCTATGGTTCATGACAACAAATAAATGATTAAATGCATAAACACTTACAAAACCATATTAAAAGATTGAAAATAAAACTGAAGTCAAACCACTCCCAAAGCAATATTAGATTAGACCTTCTTAGATACTCAAGCTCTTTCTCGAATTAGAAACATCATATAAGTACTCCCTCATGCCATTGGGTTCATACAAGAGCATATTGGACAAAGCTCGTGTGAAATGTATAACTCCTTGGCTATCCGATCGGATATCCCCCATTGAGTCTAATTTCTTTTCTGAATCCACTAGACTTCCACCACCTGGCTACATAATCTAAATCCAAGGGATTAACACTAGTATACGTTTTCATTTTGTGTTATGAATGTATTATATGACTATAAGACCTACATAGACTACAATGATTAAGAGCACAAATGTGTCCCCCGAGAACATATACTTACATGATGAACCTATTGGCAATGAAATTGAGTGGATGTTAATGATATCAACGTTTTAATCTATTGTTTGCTTTAATTTTTTGAATTTAATCTTTCCTTATTGCTTTATTTTATTTTATTTCTAATTATTAATTATATTTCATTTTGAAGGGATATTATTCTAAATATCTCATATAGGTGTGAAAGAGGATTTTCGAAGGGGAGTTTGGAATAAAAGGAAATCCTTGTACTTGACAAATACAAGGTATTTCTTCGAGAAACGAATATCTTGTATGGGTTATCATACAGTGATGGTTTCTTGTATCTAATGTAAGCCATTAAGAAATGGGAACGTACTTACCATGATGCAACTCACTTCTTATTGAAGATTATGAATGAAAAACTTAAGTTTTGTTTTATTTTTACTTAATTAGTTTTATTTTTTGTTTAACTAATTAGTTTCAGTTTCTCCCCACTTAAATATTTTCATGTTTTGCTTACTTAATTAGTTTTTTTTTTTTTGGTAGTAAAAGAACATGAGAAGGAACATTGAGGCAGTTTATCTTACATCTTGTGTTGTTTGTCTAGGAAGCAACGGTTTTGTTTCCCCATCCTTACGTTGTGTCATTTTGAATACAATGGGAAGTTCAAATACAAGTACAATTATGTGATGAGATAAAGAAGTTGAGAATCGTTCATTCTCATCTTTAAGCATTATGATGCATATTAGTAAAGCAATTATTAAATGCATAAACACTCACAAAACCATATTAAAAGATTGAAAGGGAATTTGTGTTATGAATGTATTATTTATAATCAAAGGTAGACACTAATATACACTTTACATTTTTGTTATGAATGTACAACATGACTATAAAACCTACATATGCTACAATGACAAAGAGGGCAATTGTTTCCCCGACAACATATACTTACATGAAGCTTTGGAACGCGAACCTATTTGTGATGAAATCAAGTTAATATTATTCTAATTGTTAATTATATTTCATTTTAAAGAGATATTATTCTAAATGTCTCATATAGGTATGAAAGAGGATTTTCAAAGGGTAGTTTGAAATAAAAGGAAACCCTAGTACTTAACAAATACAAGTTATTTCTTTGAGAGACAAATATCTTGTATATTACCTCATACAATCATGGTATCTTGTGCCTAATGTATGAGATTAAGAAATGGGATCCTACTTGTTGTGATGCAACTCACGTCATATTGAAGATTATAAATTAAAACACTTATGTTAATCATCAAGAGATAAAGGGTAAATTACTCAAATGGTCCTCAAATATGTACTCGATTTACATTTTGGTCCCTAAACTAAATTATTCGTTCAAATGGTCCACCAACTCTTTCTTAATCTGCGATTTGGTCCTACCGTTACATTTTCTGTTAAATTTAGTCATGTGAGCAGCACATGCTACATTTGTGGGGGTAAATAAGACTTTTGACCTATGTATCACCCCTTTATCACCATTGTATCACCTATGTATCACCATTGTATCACCTATGTATCACCACTTTATCACCTATTTGGGGAACATAGGATGGTTATGGACGGTTTTACCCTTACATTTGAAGGCAACATTAACATAATTTAACTGTAGGATCAATGGAGCGATTAATATAGAGTTGATGGACCATTTGAACGAATAATTTAATTGAGGGACTAAAATGTAAATCGGGTATAAGTTTGAGGACCATTTGAGTAATTTACCCAAGAGATAAAATATGTACAACTAAACCAAAAGAAAAGCTCAACAACCAAAGAATTAAAACAAATACTATCAATTAACCAAAAATACAACAATCTATATTAATTAATCAAAGTATAAAAAGATTTAGAAAATATGATAACTTACTTTGAAATTTGAGGGAGAACCAAATTGGGGTTGTTGTTGCTGCCACTTGGTAGGCTAGTCGATGGGTGGCCAATATGGGTGTGGTAGGTGGTGGTTTGGTGTTAGGCAATTTAGGGTATAATTTGTGGGAAATAAGCTTTGAAAATGATTATAGGGGTTATCGGCCGCAACTGAAAGTTGCCCAGGTATTTTGAGTTTCTACCTTGGTCATCTCGATACAAGATGAATTGGGTCCTCATTTTAGTTTGAATTTGATTACATATTGTCCTAAAGTGTGAATACACTAAGATTTATCATGTAGAAAAGACAGCCATGTAAACCTTGTAGTGACTTGGTATGCCCCATGCTTATATATGAGTACCCATCACCAAGACAGAGCTAGGATTTTAAGTTTTCTTCAAGGGGGTTGGTGGTGAATGTAAAGAACAAGCTTTAGTTGTATTATTTTTTTACATAAGCTAAACACATTTTACATACCATATACATGTTTGGAAGGACACTAATGTAAATATGTGAGTGTTCCTACAATATTTATATGCAATGACATATTATTATACATGTAAATTTTTCATTTTTTCTAAATCCTATTTCTACCCATATTTGAAGAAGTTTATTGCAACTTAACTTTTTGTTTTTATTCATCGTTATCAATTTGGGACCTTTGTTTGCTATTATGCATAGTTGGATTGTAGGGGACCAAAATTTCTTGAGACTTGCCACATGTTTTACATTTCCTCAAGGATTATGTGGGTTTTATTAGGGGTGGGTTCAGTTTGATAACCGAAACGAAACACCCAAACAAATTACTGACCAACAAGGGGCAATATGGGCTAAATCAAAACCGAAAGAGACAAAAGATCATCATCGAACCCATTGAACCACAA